AAGGTCTTATTATAAAAATCTTTATATAAAGTAATGTACTAGTTCTTTGCTTATGTATAGTTATTATAAAAGTAGTTTAATAACTAACATTTTTCTTTATAGTAGACAAAGCACTTCTTTATCTGTGTACAGTTGTCTTTAGATTATAGCCTAAACCTAGATAGAGATCTTCTATGTTGTCCTGTTCTGCGCAGAGGGAAGCTTTCTTTTTATTATGCAGACTCTTGTTATACAAAGTTATATTAGTAGTTTATATAGTATGCATTAGGCAGTTTCTAGAGGTATTAGTTTACCCTTTAGTCTATAGTAACTTAGAGTAACGCCTGTAGATTACTAAATAAGGCTTTATATAAAGGCTTAATAGTAAACATAGCATGTTTTAGTTCTAGTTATCCTTAATAAGCTTATATAACAGCAGTGTGTAGTAGAACATTCTTTTAAAATTCTGTTTTTAGTGCTCTTTATATAAGTGTAAGCTTATTAATTATTATTTTAAGAACTTTATATAAAGTTTTATTAAAGTTTTATTATTAGTATTATATAAAAGTTATTATTATCTAGTTTATCTAGTACTAGCTATAGTTTATATTAGTATTAAAGTAACTGCTTAAGGTGTTGTATAAATGCTTTTAGTTATGTCTAGAGCTTATGTTATGCATATAGTACATATTTACACAACCTTTTAAAATATCTAGAAAGATGTTTACATACTAAGTTTCCTAGATATCTAGCTATTAACATAGATTAATAAAGATTTTTATTTTATCTATAAAAATGTTATATAGTTAACTTATGTAGTTGTTATTCTTCTTTTATGCTTTTTAGAATTATATAATCTTGTCTGCTAAGAGTTTTTCTTTAGCAGTTTCCCTCTAGGGTGGAAGTTTGTACAGGTTGTAATGTAGTATAGATTGTACAGGTGGTATTAGTAGTGTGTACAATTAAGGGTGTAGAGCAGGCGTTAGGTAGGGTGGCATGTATTGTTTGTACAGTAATTAGTGTAGTGCTAGCTAAGGTGTAGGAGCAGGTAATGCTAGTACGTTTAGTGTTGTTAACAGCATTATGTTTAGTCTACTTTTATATAAAGCCTTATACAGTAATAAAAGTTATGTATAAAGCCTTTTAAGTGTAATTACTTTCTCTTATGCTATATTATACAGCTTCTAGGCTTAGGTACCTTTGTTGCCTAGCTGTAGTGTAATTCTCTTGTCCTTTAGCACTTATATAAGCTCCCTTTTAAACACGCAGCTAAGTGCTAAGAAGTCTTATAGTATTTATTTTTTAAAATTCTTTATATATAAACTTAAAAGAGTAGCGCCTTTTTAAGTTGTTATATATAAATTAGTAATTATATAACTTATATATAATTAAGTTTATTAGCAGAGCTTGCTCTGCTTATTATATTCGGGTTTGCAGAACAAAAAGTTTAGCAGAATCTCCTCTTTTAGACGCGCTAGTTAGTCATAATTTCTTTAGATAAACCCTAGTAACACTATTTCTCTGTTACCTTGTGTGTTTCTTACATTCTTTTTTAAAAAAAATGTATACCTAATATAAGTGCACTTTTATGTTAATTTGCATGTAGTTTGCTCTAGCATGTGTTGTGTAAAACATGTTTAAATTATAGTTAGTTGCGTCTATTCCACCTCTCTAGCTACATTAGTGTGTTAGGGATTTGCATCAGCCACGCTTAGTTGCAGGCTGTGGTAGGTCACGTGCTGCACGTGTTTATCCTACTGCAGTTAAATGTTATTATTATACGTCTATTACCTGTCTAATACTACTTTGCTAAGCATTATGCTGTAACTATTCTTTAACCTAAATAACCTACTTTAATGCGCTAACTGTTACTGTCTACTTAATTCTACAACTAATTAGTAGTTCTTCTAATAGAAGGTGCGTTGTGCTTCTTGTACTACTAAACCCTAGCCTACTAGAAAACGCCTAGTAACCTCTACTGCTCTAGATCCTTTAGCTAACGTAGAGAGAAAATATTACCTACTTACTAATATTACAAACGCAGCAAATATCCCTATAGTTACAGTTTAAAATAATTCTTATTAAAATAGCGTTGCTTGCTCTTATTAAACACACACTGCTTATTCTTGCTAAACACACTTTACCTAATCTTGTTAACTAAACAGTGTTTTTTCTTGTTAACTACTTAACACCTAGTCTTATACTCTTACACTTTTATGTAAATGTAGTAAATGCAACACTACTTTTATTAAAGGCATTAATTAATTTAAGAATAGCGTTAAGTAGAAGGCAAACTATGTAAGTTGTTAAGGTAATTTATAGGCGCGTACTGTACAGCATAAGGCCTTTAAGCTTATACTACTATTAAACCTAGGTCTAACTCCTGCGCTCTTTTAAAATGTGTACTAGTTACATACATTAGAACAGACTTATTAATCTTGTAGACTACACCTATCTAGTAATGTCTCTAGCATTTTAAGTGTTTTTTTTACTCTTTAGTCCTTTTTGTTATTATAAGGAGATCTTTTTAGATAATTCCTAGTTGCCTTATTACAAGAATTAGTAAACAGCAATACTGTGCGTTTGTTAGAGGATAAGGCTAGAATAGATGCTCTATTTAAAGTAGAACAAAGAGCATACAGCATGCTAGAAACGCCTTATATTATGCAATTTACTGCAGATAAATCTTTAAATAATCTAGCACTATTAGATAAAGATAAAAGTCTAATAGCAAAATTTTACTTAGAGCTTAAAAAGATAAATCTAGAGAAATGTAGAGTGTGCAACTAGAGGTAGTTTAATTTAAATATTACTTTATATAAATGCGCTACATGTTAAAAAGATAGGCGCAACTACTTAGACAATCCTAATTAGGTGCCCTTGTAGGGTGCTGCAAATAGGCTAGATCCTAGTCCTGTGCTATCTTATCTTCTAACACTAACTACAACTAAGGAACAACTTCTAGCTAGAGTGCAGATTACAATAAAGCTAAGGCAGCACTAGGGTTAATAGTATAAGTATTAGGGGCATGTTTACTATTTTGCTGTAAATACTACAAAGTTTTTCTTCTGCTTACTACTATTCTTACATAATCTTAATGTTATTATTTTAAAGCTCTTAGCATTTAAAGGTAAAAATGTTAGTGCTATTAATTACTAATTTAAGAAAAACTATAAAGTGTAGTAAACTATTATATTATAGTAGCTTCTATTTCTTAAATCTAACTATCCTAGCTATTGTAACATTAAAATTAACTAAAAAGCACTTAATGCTTTGCCTCTTAACAACTATATTAATAATTAGCTCCCTACTGTTTATGTAACTAAAAAAAAGTTGTTAGCTACTCTAGATAATGTTAATATAAACCTAGTGTCTAATACCTGCGCTAATACTGTTTACAAGCATAATGTTAATCTGCTATTTAATTCTAGTACTACTACTAGTGCAACTAATAACTGTTAATAAAGTGTTGTAGGTGCACTTAGAATACTTAATTAGAGTGTAAGTAAATCTTACACTCCTTCTAGTGTATAACACCTACAGCTGCCTAGTACTAAGCGCTTAATAGTTGGCTTTAGCATAGGTTGTAGCGTTTTGTTATGTCCTATAGCTAGTATCTATCCTAACACTTTAAAATAAGGTGATGTAACTAGCTATTATAGAAGCTTAGTAATAAAAGACCTAGAAATTAAAAAGTTAGAGGATTCTAATTACAAGATTATCCTTAACTTTACTTTAAATGTTGCAGAATTTAAGACCTTGCAATAGTATATCTAGAGGACAACTAATTAGACATACCTTTCTATAGCCTTTATAAGACAGACTCCTTTGTCTAAATTTAGAAACTGTAAGCTGCTGCTAAGCCTAGCATTTTTATCTTTATTTTTATATAAAGTAGTAGAGTTTGTTTAGCTGCGCTTACAAGAAATTAATTATCTATCCTATATTTAGCATCTTATTTGCTATAAGAATAGACAGTTTACACGCTACCTACAGTTCTGTTTTACTGCATTTAACACCCTCCTCTACTAAGAGTCTACTACTAAGGCAGGTTTTTATGTTAAGAAATCTTTTAGTAATAAAGACATTATAGTTAAGTTAATATAGAAAGAGTTTAATTAGCTAGATAGTAGCTAGCATTTTATTAATTCTGTTATAAGGCTTATAGCTAATATTTATAGAACTTAATCCTATTAAGTATAAAAAAGAAAAGTGTTAAAAGTAATAGTTTGTCTATTACCTATCTATTACCTTTATATTACGTGTTTGCTAAAATTAACAAGGTGCGCTAACTACGCTGTCTAACTTTATTTATTATGTTTTCTGCTGCAGATTAACATTAGCACAATTTGTTGCGCTTTATGCTAAGGTTCTTAGTGTAGGAGGATGTAGACTTAAAGCAACACGTTTGCTTTACTTCTAATTTTATCTAAAATAATTTTTATATTATAGCGTATTATTTTAATAAGTAATTTTAGCTTTTTAAAACCTATGTTCTAACTTCTAAGTTTAACAAAACTAACTTTTAGAATTAGTATAAGTAGTAAGGCTAAAGTAGTACACATAATTATAGCCTATACTACTGCAAAGGAGTACTAAACCTAGATTTAAAGTTAGGCAATAATGTAACTAATTTTAATATTGCCTGTATAGCAGCATACTAGGGGTGTTATATATCAGCAATGCACCTAGAGCTGAATCCACAGCAGCTAGTAGACAAGGGTTCTGTGCTGTTACTACTAGCACTAGCTATGTTATTTAACTTTAAAGAGCTCTTAAGTGTCCTTACTTAGTGCTACATTTATTACTGTTTAGCTAGTTATTATTTTAAAAGAAATAAGAAAACTAATATAAAGGTTTACTAATTTAATGCACCTTAGCTCTTATAAATAAGTCTAGGTTTTAAGAAGCTAGCAGACAAGCAGTATAAAAGATTTGCTGCTAAGAGAAACTATATGCGCCTTAACACCTATTTACCTGTACTTGCGCTTAGATGGCGCGTAAATACTAACATATAAGTGTGCACTAGCACTACTAGTGTTGTTAACTATATAGGCGTGTACGCTTTAAAGGGCAAAACACAGACGCAGACTTTTAAGGATATAGCAGGGCAGATATTGCTGTATATTAAACCTAGCAACTTAATGCTCTCTTTTATAGTAAGGCTTTTTAACAAGAGTATTAGCTCTTGTAATTACAGTGCATAGAAGGTTCTGTATACCTTATTTAGTATTATGTTAGTACACTGCAGCTGCACAGTTATTAATGTTAATTATTGTCCTCTTAAATTATAGCTAGTCTTCTTCTTTTTTTAGAGTAAGCAGCCTAAAGATAATTAAGTAGCTAATAAAGGCAATAACGTACTTCATGGGCGAGTCGCTCACACACCCGAGTCGCTTACTTTTGCCAAGACCCCACCCTAACGAACTCTATTATAGCCCATAACAACCCGCTCTAGCACTATATAGTACAGTACAGCCTAGAATATTATTTAGATACTACTTCTGCTTCTTGCTTACACATTTGCGCGTTATGCCTAGTCTAATTGCACTGTCTGCAGCGCCTTTAGGATAGCTTACCTACTTTAGCTTACACCTGCTTCTTTGCCTTCTTCCTATTACTGCGCGCTCTAAACTCCTTTAGAGCTATTAAGCGCAGGCCTTCCTAATTTGTTAAGGTTCTTTCTGCCTTAATCTACTTTCTTTTATATAATTTATATTATGTAGCAGCCTTATTAGCTACTTAAAGCTTAGTAATTTTCTATTACACTAACACTAGCTTATGCGTAATTATTGCTGCTCTTTTTAAGACTTTCTTAAACACCTTAACTATAAAAGTTAGTAAACTATTTATATGCTTTTAAATTCTTATCTTTATAAGCATTAATTATAACCTAAGTTTTAGAGTATTACTTAGGGTTTACAACTGCTAAGGCTTGTTATATATAAGTAGTAGTAGTAATAAAGTGCGCAACTTTATATTAAGGCCTATTATAACTTATTATAGGTTAAAAGAAACTAATCTAGCGCCTTAGAACTCTTCTTAGATATTACTAAAAGTAATTATAGCATTATAAGCTGCTTTAAAGCATAGTAGAAACTTTATTTTTATAATATAAGTAATCTAGTTATGTATAAGGTTTTTAGCTTAGCACTTATACACCTTCTTTAAAAAAGTAAAACAACTTACATTAAGTAGCTATAAAAAGTGTAATAAGTAAAAAAGTATGTAGATAGTAATAATCTTATTATCTTTATAGTATTACTAAAAATAAAGTAAGTTATAGCTTTTATAGCTGTTAATAACTAGCAGACAGTAGCTGCTAATAGTACGCTTCTTTATATGCGCGTTAAAGTGCTTTAACTAGTCTAGACTAAGCTAATTAGTAGTCTAGCTGTGCTTAAAGATTATAATAACTTAATTCTAAAGTAGATTTTTTTTTATACTAATTTAAAAAGTAGTTGCTACTCTAAAAGATAATAAAGAGCAGAATAGCCTACTCTTTAGCATTAATGCCCTAAATAGCTGTTGTCTACTTCTAGTTACCTAGCTAGACTGCTTTTAGCTGTTCTTATCTCTCTAAACTTATAATAACTGCTCTAGTAGATATCTAGCCTATTATAAACCCTATTTTATTAAAGTTATACATGTTATTATTCTAGATGCTATACTTAGCTTTAATATTCTTTATAAAGTTAAACTAGCTTTAAATTACTACAGGATTTTTATAAAAAGCTTTTTTATAGTTATACTTACACTTAAACTTTACTTTAAGCTTTAAGTAACACTTAATAAATGTATTAAGCTAGTTTATGCTAATATAGCCTATATTACACTTAGCGTGTAAAGAATTAGCTATATTAGCTACAGCTGCTAGCTAGAGGGGAAATCCTTGCGCATTTAGCTTAAGTATGTGCTAAATAATTACCTGCTTTTTATTATTATCTAGCTTCTATAAGTTAGCTATATAATTAGCTTAGAAAGGTTATCTAGCGCGTTAGTTGCTTATTATCTTTTAAAAGACCCTGTAGATAGCTGCAGCGTGTTAGTTAAAAAGTGTTGTGTCTTGTTTAAAAGCCTAGAGCGTAAGCTGCATCTAATGTTCTTTTAACACGTTTAAGTAGTGTTATTAGGAATACATTAGTGTAGAAAGAGTAGTGTGGTAGAGTCTTAGCAAAAGTAAGCAACTTAGGTGTGTAAGCGACTTGCCTATAAAGTACGTTAAAGCTAAAACTTATACTCTTTAAAAAGGTAAAAGCATACTGCAGAAGTACATTAAACGCCTAGTAGCCCTTTCTAATATCTGCTATTTAGATTACCTACTTTATTTTAATTATAATAAGCGCCTAAAGCGCAGGCCTTAAGCAAAACTATAAATTCTTAACTTTATTTCTTAGTATAAACTGTCTATTAACATTAAAAACTTCTTTTATGTTAAATTAACATTGCACTATCTATTTTAGACAACTTTAGAGTTATACTGTGTTAATAGGCAGGTATTTGCTACTTTTACTAAGGCTTATACAAAATGCTAAATGTTATGCTATTATACACTATTAGATTCTTATAGTGACCTAAAAGTGTAAGAAGAAGAGGAGGATCCTAAGTGGGAGAATGTAGTACCTAAAAAGAGTCTCTCTTTTAATAAGCTTGCTTATCTCTAACCTAGAGATGCAGGTATCTCTGTTAATAATAAGTCCTTAGGAGATTAGCTAATTAACTATGCTAAGAATTAGAAGCATAAGGCTTACTTTAACACATTTTATTTAGATCCTATGTTATATTAGTAAGATATTAAGCAGAACTATCTAGTTAAGAATGCACCTATAGTGTCTATTACTATGTCTAATAACTTGCAAGCTAAGTAGCAGTTGCTATATAACTTAATTATTAATTATTACACTACTTTTCTTACTAAACAGTCCCTATAATAATTGCTTGTTAATCTTAATAGTGTTAAAGGGACTAAAAAAATATATGTAATTAAGATAATATTATTTAAGCTAGAAATGTTAGCAGCTAAGCATAATGTTGCTTTACCTATTTTGTGATGCGCACCTACTAGCGTTGCTGCTTATCTTATATCTAGGACAACTTTAAATTCTGTTTTCTGTATTCTAATTACTATTAAACTAGGACCTTTGCTACTACTTATTAGTGCTAGCTTATAAGCTTTACAAGCTTAACTATATTCTATAAAGTATATTATTATTAACAAGAAGTTAATAGTTAGACTTAAAATGTTATCTTAGATTTATAGAAGATGTTTATAGGCGTTTCCTTAGAGTACAGCTCTATTTAGCAGTATTAATATTATCCTATTAGGAGACTTTAGCTAGCTTTCTCTAGTAGGCAGGCGCCTACTATTTAATAGCTCTAGTAATAGTTCTGTCCTTAACTACTATAGTTAACTACTATATTAGCAATTCACAAAGACAGTTGTTTTTAATGTAGTTATAAGACAGTAAGAAGATAGCTAGTTATAATTTTATAAAGCCCTTAGCTGTCTTTATAAAGGTACAAGCACATAAAATAACTAGAACTTGTTTATAAGCTGTTGCAGTGCTTCTCTTACTAAAAGTAAGCGCTTTTTCTTCTCTACCTTTATTTGTTTATGTAAGAAAAGGGTAGAGGTATCTATAATTAATTATTAAAGTATAAGGGATTTATGTGCACCTGTAATTATAGCTTACGCTTAGCATAATTATAGTAAGCTAGCTAAGGTGTCTACTGTAGATAGTAGCAATCTTTATAGTTTACTTCCTCTATGCATTAGTAGGCGTGTTATGCTATTACATAACATCTAGACTAAGGCAGGTCTTGTAAATAGATCTACTAGGGAAGTTAATAACATTATATAGTTGTTAAGTGTAACTAATTATTGCAAAAAGGCGCTAAAGGCAGTTCTTATAGCCTTTCCTAATTATATAGGTCTAGGTTTGTATGTGCAAGCTAATAGTTAGGTAGTTGTTTTAATTTTCTTTATTTACTAAAAGTTCTATTAGAACTAGGCAGTAGTCTTATAAACACAGTTTTCTTTTTGTTTAGCCTAGGCTATTACTATTTATAAGTCTTAGGGACTTAGTTTAGACAGAGCAGTTCTTTATATAAGTAGAAGCTGTAATTATGCACTAGAGCTTATGTATGTAGCAGTGTTGCAGGTTAAATCCCTTAAAAGGCTTATGTTTAACAAACCTTTCTCTTTTAGTTACTTAAAAAATTCTTACTCTACTATAATTAGTAAGTAAAATGCTAATATAAGTTAGAGGTCGCAGCAATTAGTTAGAAGTATAAACTGTTTATTTAAGTAGCTAACGTACCTAACGGGTTGGCCGGCCACACAGGTTAGCCGGCTACTTTTGCTAAGCCCCTACTAAAACTACCCTATTCTCTCGCAAAACAGCCTACTTTAGCCCTATATAAAGTAATACAACATAAGATATTATTTAGAGTCTACTTCTGCTACTTACTTATATGTATGTAAGTTATACCTAGTCTAATTACACTACTTGCATTACTTTTAACTTAGCTTACCTTTTTTAGCACGCACCTATGTCTTTAGCTTCTTTCTATTACTACGCGCTCTAAACTCCTTTAGAGTAGTTAGACAAGCTCTATTCTTAACTATTAAGGTCTTTTTTGCCTAAATTTACTTTTTTTTATGTAATCTATGTTACGTAGCAGCCTTATTTACTGCTTAAAGCTTTATAATCTTATAGCCTACCTTATTATATTAATGCTCTAGATAACTATTATCTACTTTCTATTACTTTACTATATTGCCTTTAGCTGTTTTTGTCTCTCTAAAGCTGTAACAACTACTCTAGTTAATATCTAGCCTATTATAAAGCTTAACTTGTTAAAGTTATACCTGTTTTTATTCTAGATACTGTACTTAGCTTTTATGTTAGCTACTAGGTAAAACTAGCCCTAGATAACCTCTAGATCCTTATAAAGCGCTCTTTTATAATTATACTTATAATTAAACTTTATTATAAACTTAAAGTAGTGCTTAACCTACATACTAGTCTAGTTTAAGCTAACCTAGCCTAGATTGCGCTCTGCAGGTAAGAAATTAGCTATATTAGCTATAGCTGCAAGCCTAGGGGGAAATCTATGTGTAATAAGCTTAAGTATGTACTTAACAACTACCTTTTTTTTAAGCTTAGTTAGATTCTTTAATTTAAGCTAGTATTCTGCTTATAAA